ATAAATAAACTGTTAAATATTACATTGAAAACGAAAAATCATCCTTTCTTTTAATTAAAGAAAATGAACGCATGATGTCAATGCAGACATTATTACATAACATGAGGAAAGAAAGAAAGCAAGAAAGAAAATGCACTTTCAATAATTCACTCACCCTCTCTGCAGAATCTTCACACACTCGTATGGTTTGTGTGATGATAAAGAGAAGCGGATGAGAGGCTCATACTGTCTTATACACTCACTCTTCATCACTTGTACTTCTGATGAATTCCGAACAGATCATTCGAGCGCCACCAGCCAATCAGGGCGCGACTCTGCGCCAGTCTCGCGAAAGAGCAGCCAATAGGAAGAGAGAGAGAACTTTGGAAGGGAGGGGAGAGCGCGGAGATAAAGAAGAGTTACTCAAGTTCGAGTCCCACATTAGCACATCCAGCCGGCAAAGTGCAGTCATGCTGAAACAATATCAGTCATCTTAACAGAAATAGAATGTAAAACTGCTACATTAGAAACCTGTTCATTGTTTATAAGTCATTTAACTTAGCATACACTGTGAAAATGTGTAGTAATTAATGCAGTGACCTAAATTAGTTTGAACGGGACAATGCATGATGCATCTCACTCTAGAATAGGCCTACTGTAAAAAAATGTTTTTGGCAATAAAAAGTTGCAAATTTCCTTGTAACTTGAAAATATAGATTTCGCTGCATTTAAAAAGACTACTTGGATGTGTGGGAAAAAAACTATACACTATAGTAGTCTACATTTGACCAATTCAGTTGTTCAAATATGAATTCTCTATGCACATTATTTAGCACAGTTCCAGCATTTCACGTGGCATAGGCACAGATTGGTGACTGATATGACTGTTAAACATTTCAAATGAAAAAAAGAAGAACTTTGGACTTTTTCGAGCAAAAGAAAACAGCAGACTTTTTCTGAACCTGTTTATTTTCTACAGCTGCATTTTACAAATTGTATTTGCAAGTTGTATTAACATCTATGAATGTTTTATTATCTGATAAAGCTTACAGTAAAATTAGATAAGATAATTACATGCTCGTCCATGCTAATTCGCAGATACACAGATGCATAAAAGAACATTTTGCAGCTGCAGCATTACTTTCCTTTTAATTCAGGTCTTTTTTTTAAATTTAGCAGACTTAAATTTTCCAGCTATAGGCTACTTAAAAATGAAAAATTATGAAAAAAT